TATGGAAAGAACAAAGACATTTTCTCTTAGTCATAGCCACAAGATCTCCTATTTTGATTGTCACCGTCAATTTCTTTCACAAGACCATCCATTTAGGAGGAATAAAAAGGCATTCAAGAAGAACGTTGTTGAGATTGGTCCCCCTCCTCCACGTTTATCTAGTCTTGATGTCTGGAATAGGGTGGCACACTTACCAGTTTGCTATGAATTACAACAAGTAGACAATATTGCAAGATATGGTATTACACATAATTGGAAGAAACAAAGTATTTTTTGGAGGTTGTCTTATTGGAAAACCCAACTTTTACGTCATAATATTGATGTTATGCACACAGAAAGAAATGTGTTCATGAATGTGTTTGACACTGTCATGGATATCAAAGGCAAAACTAAGGATACAAACAAGGCTCGATTGGATGTAGCTGAAATATGTAATCGAAAAGAGCTAGAGTTGAAAGACATTGGACGTGAAAAACTTATCAAACCAAAGGCAACATATGCTTTCACCAAATCCCAAAGACCCTCTATTTGTAAGTGGGTTAAAGAACTTAAATTGCCAGATGGATATGCTTCCAATTTGGGTAGATGTGTTGACTTGAATCAAGGAAAGTTACATGGTATGAAAAGTCATGACTGTCACGTGTTCATGCAATGATTACTTCCAATTGCATTTGATTTGTAGCCAAAATCAATTTGGAAAGTACTAGTTGAACTTAGTATTTTCTTTAGAGAATTGACTTCCACAACACTAAATATTGAACACTTACGAGTTATGGAAGAAAATATACCTGTCTTATTGTGTAAATTGGAACAAATATTCCCACCAAGCTTCTTTGATTCAATGGAACATCTTCCAATTCATCTACCTTATGAGGCAAAGGTTGGTGGTCCAGTTCAATATCGTTGGATGTATCCTTTTGAGAGGTATGTTTACACTAACTACTCACCCTCCATTTCTAAAGTATTTTATATGTTCTTTAAAGACTCCATTTTTGTATTCTTTTTTAGATTCTTACACTCCTTAAAAAAGAAAGTGAAGAATAAAGCTAGGGTGGAGGACTCTATTTGTGAAGCTTACTTGGTGGAAGAAACATCTACATTTGCCTCATTTTATTATCCTGATCATGTTGAAACAAGAAGGACTAGGATTCCTAGAAATGTTCATGTAGGTGAAGGTTCTTCATCCCCTCCTCCTATTTCAATTTTCAACTACCCAGGAAGACCAATTGGAAAATCTCAAACATATTTTCTGCACCAAAGAGACTATGATGCTGCCGAATTATATGTTCTTCAAAATTGTGAAGAGGTTCAACCATATTTTGATTAAGATGTTTTCACTCCTCTCACATCAAAATTACTCATGTTACTTTGTGTGGTTTGAGTAATTTGTTACGTGTTTGCAGTATTTATATTGAATATTTAAGACAGCTAAATCCTAGTATTTCCGGTGCCCAAATTGACCAAGACATTTCATCCCATTTTCCTAAATGGTTTAAAAAATATGTAAGTTTTTGACTTATATGTCTTACAAATATTTATTCTGACTTACATAGTCTAATGTGTAAAGGACTTTGCTTGTGTTTAGGTTCTAAATCCAGAAAATAATATTGAAGATCCATTATTGGTTAATTTGGCATGGGGTCCCAAGAGAAAAGTTGAATCATGGCCTATGTATGTTATCAATGGATACAAATTCCACACTATTGTTTGGAGTGAAGGCATGAATTCCTGTAACTATGGTGTTTATGTACGAGGAACCAATGGTCAATTAGAGTCAGATTTTTATGGATTATTGTCTAATATTATTCAATTAGAGTATACTGGTTTGCCATTGATGAATTTAGTTCTCTTTCAGTGTGAAAGGTTTGACAATACTCTTAATATAGGAACCAAAGTAGATAATAAGTATGGAATCGTGGAAGTAAAGCAATCACAAAGATATAATAAAGCATATGATCCTTTCATATTTGCACAACAAGCAGAATAAGTTTATTAAACAAGTTATCCAGAGGGACACCGAGGTTGGTTGGGTGTAATAAAGACAAAATCTCGTAGTAGAATTATTGATAATATAGTCAGTCGAGTTGAGCATGAGACTCCATACCAAGATGATGAGCTTGTAGGACTTCAAGTAGTGCTTCGTGTTGATCCTAACTTCATTGATGATTCCCTTGCTGATGTTAATGGTGGGGGAGAAGAAATAGATATACAATTACTAAATGAAAGAAATATAGATGAAGATGAGGATGAATATATTTCAAGTGAGGATGAGATTGAGAGTGATTTTGATGATACAGATACTTCGATAATTCATGCATTAAAATTATTTTTACAATTGTTAAATTTGATTGTACACCTTTATTTAATATTGCACATATATACATATATATATATATTGATATGACTATGATTTAATTATTTGTAGTGAATGAGTGGTAAGCTAACTGACACGTTTGGGTGTAGAAAACAAAATCAGGTAATTCATTGTTTCAATTGTTTAATTTTATGCATGTTACATATGTAATAAGATCCATTTGTAGATGTCACAAAGGGGTAGAAGTGGTGGTCGTAGACCACCTCATCGTGGTGGTCGAGGTGTACTTGTTGATGATAGAGGTTCACCCAGCCCTAACTCTTCTAGTTCTGTTCGACCAAGATCCATGGAGTCTACTAATCCTATGTTTGTAGAACGCACACCTCCCTCAATTCAGCAGGAATCTCCTGTAGCTATAGTAGGAGAAACAATTCCTACTACCTTCTCTACTGAGGCGACATTTGGTCAACCTACACAAGTACCTGGGTCAGTCGCAACTGAGGTTGAGTCTGGAAATATGGTTGATCAAAGGCCATGGTTACAAGCAGATAAAGGAGAGTAAGTATGTTTTAATTTAATTATAAGTCTTTAATATGAAATTTCTTAATAATATCAATCCCACAATATGTTTCAACACAGGTTTATACTAGCAAATGGTCCTCCTGCTATAATCTCTAGAATCATCAAACAAAAATTTGATGAACCAAGTCGCACTTGGAGAAAGGTTTCACTTGAGCTTCGAGATAGATGGTTTGGAGAGTTCAAGGTAATTTGAATTATAGTTACATTAAACAATGTCATTTCATTCTTATAAATTAAATGTTTGTTGTGTATTTTTTTATGCGAAAGAGTATATATGGGATGTGGAACAAGAGCAAGCCATAAGATCTGTTTTTGATAAGAAAGGTTCTCGAATTTTAAAAAACTCAATGAACAAAGTTAGGAATGGTAAGGATACGGGGATCTGGATACCGCCAGCTGCTCGAGCATCTTTGGACTTACATTGGAGTTCTCCAGATTTCCAAAACAAGAGTGCCATTGCCAAGGCTAATCGAGCTGTTGATAAGGGTGCCTCGACTTACTGTGGGGGTTCCATATCTACTGCAGCTCACTTTGAGAAGATGGTAAGTTTATTATATTTTTATATAAGTAATTTAATACAATATATTAGACTTTAGGTAATGCATTTTGTCTCATTTTAATGTGTAGACTACGGAGTTTCAACGGGAACCAACCGTTTGGGAGGTTGTTGAGAGGACAAAGAAATTAAAGACTGGACAATGGGTCAATGAAAAAACTCGTTATCTTCTCTGTATGTTTAACATCTAAGTTATAGTTTATTATTCAATATATGTTTTCTTCATAATAATTATATTTCACTTCATTTTTAGGAACAATATATGCAGCGCAGAGAAGAAGTCCATCAACATAACTTGCGTGAAGGCTCATCTTCACAAGAGTCTCCTATTGTCTCTATTGATGATAATGAAATATACTTTTCAGTTGTTGGAGGTGAAAATAAAAAAGGAAATGTGTATGGACTTGGTACATTGAGCAAAAAGTTCACTACTACATTAGGTTCTCAATCTTCTATTACTCAAACTCCAGTACTTCATCAAATTGAACAAATGCGTGAGACTATTGAAAATTTAAATGTTGAATTGGTGACAAAGCATAATAAGGAGAAGACACTTCAAGAAGAGATGCAGGAGTTGAGGAACAACCAACGCCAACAAGATGAGCAGATGAAGCAGATGCAGCTTATTTTACAACATATTCAAATGAATAGTCATCCTACTACAAGTCAACATGATACTGACAATATACCAAAGGACTAATTTTCAATTTTATGATATTAAGACTTTGAATATTGAGTAGTTGTTTAGAAACATTTTATTTCTGTTATGACTTTGAATTGTTATTATTATGATTTGAATAATTTGACTTTAGTTCTCAAGTTTTCATTTGTGTTCTGTTTGGATCAATTAAGCAGGTACAAATTTTGCAAAATTGGATATACAAAATTTTAAACGAAAATTTTCAGATTTAGTTAGATTAGCGACCGAATTTTTGGTCGCTACAAATATATTATAATATACAATTCAAATTTAGCGACCAAATTTATTCAGTCACTATTTTTTGCGAATCGATTTAAATTATTATTTAAATAATTCAATTAATGTATTAGCGACCGATTATATCGGTCAGCTATTATTAGTAACTTTGTCTCCAATTTAGCGATCGATTTAGTATATTAATTTCGTCGCTATTTTTACGATTGATTTAGCGACCGATTTTAATTATTATTTAAATAATTTAATTAATATATTAGCGACCGAATATATCGGTCACTATTTTTTTAAAACTTTACCACCGATTTATTATATTAATTTCGGTCGCTATTTTGGTCTTTAAGGAATAAGTAACCAAATTATTTAACGACCACCTTATCGGTCGCTATTTTGCGACCGAAATGTAACAAAAATATAACCAAATATATCGGTCGCTAACAAATTAGCGACTTGACCTTTTGCGACCAACCATTTCGGTCGCTAATTTCGGTCGCTAACAGAATAGCCACCGATTTTTTGCCATTAGTGACCGATTTTTTGCCATTAGCGACCGATTTTTTCGGTCGCTAATAGTATTTTTTCTTGTAGTGATTCATATAGCTGTGCTGTGTTTGTTAGTTACTGAAATTACCTTTACGGGTCCGTTTGAGTAGTGCAGTGCCTCTAGCAAGGAGCTCTTGGTTGCAGGCACCCAAAAAATTGTCACCATTCGTAATCTCCCCACTATCACTGGTGCTAGAATTACTGTTGTTGCTTTTACCACAAATTCCAATCCCTACGCCTCTCTCTAATGGAGTCACTGCAGTGATATTCCACACCTCCTTCAATGCTCTTGCTTTCAAGGTCGCTGCCCCACGTAGAGCTGCATATTAAAGGATCACATTCACGTCCTTCAAATATACAAAGAGAGAGAAATACATAACAAGACTATTACTAGTTTGTTACTATCTCTCACTACCAATGTGTACAAGTTCCTTTTGAACCAAGGGATCAATCAACAATGAAACTACAGATCCTAGTTCATTCTTTACTGTAGAAGCAACTTAATTAGCCTTCACTGAACATTATGCGACTCATTTCTCATTGTATCTACTTTCGTTAAGAGTTGTAGCTTAATGATTTCTTTATATTAGTAAGAGTAAAATGTGTTTCATTTGATATCCCTTAAAATTTGATAATTAGAACTAATTTTAATCCTCATATTAAAAACACGGTTTTGGTCCATGTATTCTTTAAATGCGACGGATTTCAACATGAACTTAACTTCATTTTGACTTCCAATATATAATAAAAAAAAAACAACGAGTAAACCACCAACTGTAAAATTCAAGGACTAAAATCAATTTTGATCAAATCTTAATCCATGTTTTAACCTTACAGGTTAGTAACAGTAGAAAAAATAAACATTACCCTTACACTTTAAAACAATTTTACACTCTTATCTAAATATAAGTTATCGTGTTGATAAATTTGTTCCTAATTAGTTAGCAGTAATTTCTAAAGGATTTTAGTACATGATCATTAAACTCGTACTAAAGCAGAAATAAACTTTACCGGTGGCAGCTGCAGCTGTAAGCGTTGTGATATCATCATGAGAACGGACATTGACAGCAGAGCTCACCACAGCAGCAAGGTGATCTCTCTCAGCTCCCATTGCTTCAGCTGCCTCTACACACTGAGCAGCAACTAACGTGGCCGCAGAAGCCACAGACACGGCCATCTTCTCATCCTTGGTACCCGCAGATGTGGCTGCCGTTGCGGCAGTGACAGCTGCAACTGCAGCTGCCACGGCAGCAACAGAAATTGCAGCATGCAGTTGAGCATTATGGGTTCTGTTTTCTTCTTTCTTCTTTTCTTTTCTCTCTTTCAACCATCTTCCAACTGTTTTAGGTCCGGAACAAGGAGTGCCAGTACCTGTAGCACCACTCATGCCTCGTCCACCAATGAATAAGGGATGAATGGAGTTGTTTGCCCGAAAAAACTGCAGTAGATTGATGAAGTCTAGCATTATTAATCTCTCTATCCTTGGAATTATTTAACCTTAAAAAATTGTTCCATCTCAAATGAAGAGAACGCTGACAATCTTCAATTGTTCGTGGTTAATTTGCATGTCATTGGCATGCATGTCTTTTCCATGCTACTTCGAGTAGTTATTATTTTCATTCTTTTTTTGTCTTGAGAGTGTTGGCTAAATTGATTTTGAATAAAGTTAATTTGATTAAACTTAAATTTTTTTTCCATAAATATAAAAATTATCTAAAAGTTGTTTAACTTCAGAATCAATTCTAGACTTATAAATTAATTATTTACAACTCATTCAAAAATAACATAACTGCTATGTTGCCGTGATTAGGAAGAATTTAAGTCAACCAAACATGCCCTTTATCAGTTTCTGTGTGATGTTTCATTTCATGGTTCCTGTGACAAAGATATGAAAATTACACATATTTAGGACTTGAGAGAATAAATCCTACTAGGCTTTTCCTGTGCTAACTCCATGCTTTGATTTCTTTCTAGTAAAAAGGTCAAATTGAGCTTTTTTCTGTCTACCAAGGAAAATTTCCAAAATGAGAAGATTGTTTTGTTTGCGTGAATGCTGAGACAAGGTACAATGGACAGTCAAAATGTTTGTCCTGTTGTGAGACAATCAGCAGACAGGTAAGGTAAGTTGACTAGAAACCATATCAGCAACAACAGTAACGTGCGTAGTTACCCACTTCAACCGTTCAACACTCAGCTGGGCCCATCCAAAGGTTACTCATATGCTGAAATTTTTTATTTGTTAAATGAAAAGTCATAACCCCACCACAACTTTAGGCTCTAGCTCCCTCTTTAGTAGGGGTGATAGTGGGTGAAATAAAGTAGAGTTGATCCTGACTCATGGAAAACCCATGAGCAGCAAGCACCAAACGCCACCATTAATGTGAAATTTATTGTTGAATTCAATAGCTATGAACGTATATCTCTCTTCCATGCAGCTATATGGAAACTAAAATGAGTCATGACTAGCAGGTGAACCCGACGGGGCCCTCAAGTTCCTTTCTTTTGTATATTATTTTTACATTTTTTTCTTAAGGATGGCAGGTGAACATGATACCCTCCTAATGAAGGGCAAGCTTTATAAAAAAAAAAAAAGTATTTTCTACAATTATTCATAAACAGGAAAAAAATACGTGAGCAAACAGGTAATGTGACACCTAAAAGCAGATAAAAAAGATCAAAGTGTGTCTTTAAAAAAAATATAACTTACAAAACTTAATGTAAGTACAGACAATAGCAAACAATCTTTTCCATATTAAAACAACAAAGTAAACGTCCCCACATGGATATTATCGAGATCAATTAAACGTGTTTGAAATCTATGTTTGAGGCTAATTTAAAATCTATTATTACATACGTAGCATAGTTTTGGGAACCAAGATCCAGCAGCATTCAAAAGGGAGATTGGGAAGAGGAACAAGAACAAAAGTAATAGAATAGTTACAAAAATATTATTGTACCTGGGAGAAAGTAAGAATTGCTGTAGCTGAGGGGTCCACCTGGGTGGAAAAGAAAGAGGAAAGGAACAGAGAGATACCTTGACAACATCGTCAAACTCGTCAGAAGGAGAGAATGGTGGACTGTCCGTGCCGGTTAGAGAAGCACCGCCATTCAAAGGTTCACTGCTGTGAGACAGTCTACCTGACGTTAATGGCGACACTTCCTGTGTCACACACATCACATATTCAATTATACGTTTTCAAACCAAAACGGGGTGATATAAAGAAAAAACAAAAATAAGCAAAATGACTAAGTCCCTTGGAGCCCAAAAAAAAAATGTGGTTTTTGTATGAAAGAAAAAGAATGTGAGATGGTGAACACCTCTCTAGTTGACTGTGACATTATGCGGTCAAGGACGAGCTGTGAGGTCGAGGAGGAAGCAAAAGAGAACTGGTTGCTGCACATGGTTGTTGAGAATTCCTCTGACTGAGCAGAAGAAGTTTCCGCGGAAATGGAGTTGGTGACACAAGAGGGTATAATAGGAGGCTTGGAAGGTATGTAAGAAGAAGGAGGTGGTGGGGGTGCAAGGGCTTTAGAGACCTCAAGAGCAGAGGCACTCCATGATCTTGACAGAAACTCCATCGGTACTCTTGGGCTCTCTGGCAAATGAGTACCAGTTCTGGTTTTGTGGAACTCATTTCGGCCACAATTCATTATGAACTTGGGTTCCTTGTCTGTGGTCTTACAAGTTTGAAGCTTAGAGAGGTGGCTTGGTTTCCTCAAGGGGTGGTATATGTAGTGGAATCTTGAAGGAACCAGGAGTGTGTGTGTAAGAACATGTTTAATGGTACATTTTCTTTTTGTTCTTTAGTCATTTTCAGTGGGGGTTATTATATACATCAGATTTTAAAATTAGTAACGCTTTAATGAATAAATTGTTCACGAATTTCAAATGGATGTTTATACTTTGTGGTAGAAAGGAAATAATATTTCAGTAGGTGTTTGGTTGAGCATTACGTATCTACATTTATCTACATCTAAAACTCACCTTATATTAAAAGCAACAATAAATTATTTCACCAGTCCACATCCTCATATAAGAATTGTTTTAATACCATGGTTTCTCAATCAACCCCACTCTAATAGTATTTCAAACTAAAGATTTTGTTTTTACCTCTATGAACCATTTAAGATTTTTTTTTTTGTATTGGAATTGCTCTAACGGTTTGTTAACAAAGAAAAAAAAAACACTTTCTGTAAAATATAATAGATAAAAATAAAGAGGAAAAACAATATGTGAATAAAATGAATAAGATATAGGATAAATTTAGGGGTATTTAATTTAAGATAAATAAAAAGAAATAGAGATGGGAGAATCTAAAATTAATAGTGAATTAATAAGGTGAATTTAATAAACAATAAAGATCAGAGCAAAATAAGAAATACACCAATTGTCAGCTCATCCTACAAAACGACATGTAAATGGGTGTCAATCTCATAACACATTATGCAAAATCAATTACACAATCATACAAACTCTATTTAAGTACGTGGTGTTCATTTATTGTCATTTTTATTAGAAATAAATTTGAGTAGGATTTGTTATTTTTCTATTTTCTTTTCATCCTATTTCATGCGTAGCAAATAGCCTCATCATATCCCCTCCTATTTGCTGTCATTCTTTCTATTTCTTTATCTTCTTTTTGCCATGAAACAAAGTGAAAGAGAATATTAGCTAAATTTGCGAAGAAAAAATGAAATATAAAAAAGTTGATTTTTAGAATAAAGCATACTTTTTTTTATTCAAATTAATTTTTTTTTACAACTCGGACATTTTATAATGATAAATGGTAATGTTCTGAGGGCAATGTGCGGGCCGCAGGTGATAAAGTGGCTTAAGTGCAGTGAGGAGCCTAACACCATGCGAAGTACTTTGATGTGAAGTTCATACTGGAAATGAAATACTGTTTTCTGCTTTGTGCTCGACATCAGAGACTAGGGCGTAGGGAGAATTGAGTGACAATGTCATCTTAGTACAATATTTATAGCTCCTCTCGCAGATCCTAACATTTTATTGAGCTATAATTAGTGACTCATTCACCTATCATTACCAAGCAATAATAATAAATAATGTTCATCATTCGTGCTTTATGTATAACAATTCACGTGAAAATAGCAGTGGACAAGCATATAACATTAAATTATTAATACTATCATTACAAAATAAGGGCAAGGAATCTAGTCGAATGCCTTTTCCCAAATAATGACTCAATACAAAAATATTTTCTAATGGGCTAGAGCCTAGAAGGAACTTAATTATGAAGACAAAAACAAAAAACACATGATTAGGGGCAAGTTCTGGTAAGGTAATAATTGCGTTAATAACATTCATAATCTTGCTTACGTACAAATCGTATCACTTAAGAATGGGAACTGTTGCACCATTAATAAATGATTCACAAGGACCATAACAAAGTAAATTCCCAAACCAGTACCATACACATGAATTAACATGTAGACATTGCATATGGTCATTGAAATCAAAGTTCTAGTATCAGTAATATAGGGAAGATTCGATCAAAGTAGCAAAGACACAACATGAATAAAATCCCTGCAGGCATCCCTGCCTTATGGTTAGACATCAATTTTATTCCTTGTTTGAGAGTAAAGTAGTTTCCTACTTTGCTTTCAGAACAAATTGAAATTCTGACGCTAGACCCAGTTCCCTCAATAGGTATCACAGAATAAAAATATCGAAACCTAGTTAGAAAAGTAGAAGTAAGATTTTGAGTTTCATCTGGTTATGGATTGCATTAACAAATATGAGCGTTACTAGTTTGAAGAGTTTATAAATAGGACCATTTTAAGAAGGTAATGTCGAGCTATACAGTGGACAACGGTGTTCCTTCTTGTCGTAGTGTTCCTTCTTGTCGTAGGATTTGGTAACGTCCATGACCGACAAGTTAGGCAGTCCAAACCAGTTTTAGCAGGAACAAATTTTTCCAGAGTTGAGTTGGACACAAAAGCTATGTTCTAGAAGAGGACCTGAGTTAAATTGCGCGTGAATAGAGACGTCATCACTCATCAACTGCTGTTTTCTTAATTTTTTCGGCCACGGGCACGAACACGATCTCAATCCCCGTCTCATAATGCTCTGAACAAAGAAGAAAAGAAAAAGACTGTGAGAAGCAGCCTTTGCTTTTTTGTTTTGGAGCATTTTGTTCTGCTCTTCATTTATAACTGACAAAAGTGGAAATATTGTTCCTTTTGCCTCGAATTCTCATTGACGATTGTTCCCCTTGAATTTCAATTGCATTCAAATGCGCTTTCAAGTTATTTTTCAGAAAATTATTCCTACTCAAATTTGCTTTTTTAAGTCAACTTTGGTTACCCTTGAGGACCACTATGAATGAAAAAGAGATCCCTATGTAAGTGGCTACTTCGTTGTACTAACGGATGCATAAATAGGCTCCCTTTCTCTTTTCTTTTTTTCTTTCCGCCTCGTCTTAAAAGAAAATAAGAAGTGTGATTTTTTTTTTCTTTCCTTTACAAGAGGACGACTCCATGTACAACATCCACATTCATTTGTTCCAGACCAATTATAAATTTATAAAGACTCCTTTATGTACGCCTGAAACGTTGCTCTAGTGAATGCATGCAGGTTTTTGGTTTTGGTTTAACTAAGCCAAAGTTATGGGATGAATGAAAGCAAAAAGACCGAGAAGCGAACCTTCCCTGGCAGATACATCCTGGCATAACGTGGGAAGGCCGAAAGAGTGAGGGCATTATTAAATGCATCTCCATTCTTTATCGGCTAGCAGCAGCAAGATAAAGCAGTCTTTCAGTTGCATGATGGCCACACTGTCCTTGACTAATTCAAGGCCCAAAAGGATCGCCTCCACTCCAACCCATCTCAAGGATTACACTACCTAAAGATCCCACCATTGCAACAAACTCTTGAGTCACATTACTCTGTTTTTTAAGGTATTGTTAGAAATTTTTAAGGTTTCGTGTATATGTATTTTTGATATATTATGTGGGTATATATTTTATTTATGTGTTCTATGCATATATAGAGTAAAAATATTACAAAATATCAAATATCAATAATATATCAATCATAATTGCCCAAATCAAAATAATAATTTAATATATTTTTATCTTCTCTCTTAAAAGATAATAAAATCTTTTAATACTTAATTTAAATAAAAGATAATAAAGTAATATTCTCAACATTCCTCCTTACTTTAATATCTATTTATTTGAATTTGATATTTTTTCTTTTACTTTTCTTATAAATTTTCCTCATTTTTTGTTTGTATTTCTTGTCATCTTCCTTTTTGTGTGGGATCAAATCTCCGTTCAACTTCATTTTCTTCATCAAAATATTTCTTCCTTTATCAACTTCATCTCCTTTGTCTCTTTCAAACTTCTTTATGGTAGTACCGTTGACTATTTGATAAACGTTGAAAATGGTTTCTTCATCTACACCTTTATTTTCCTCCTTAACATCAAATTCCTTCAAGAAATCTTCTTCATGCTTTTTCTTTGACTTTTCTTTTATATCTTTGTTTGTAATCATCTCTTCTTTCATCAAATCTATAGTGAAACTTTTTTCTTTCATGTGAACTTTAAATATTTTCAAGTTATTTGTATCTTTAATCACATAAAGTTTGTGTCCAAAAGACACCTTATAACTTTTCTCCAATAATTGAGCAATACTTAACAAATTATGATTAATATCAGGAACATATAAAACATTAAAAATTCATTTTATACCTGAATGACTTTTAACTGCAATTATTCTCATACCTTTCACGTCCATTTGTTCTCCTTTACCGATTCTCACTTTAGAAATATGTGGTTCTTTGAACTCTCTAAAAAATTCTCGATCATGAGTCATATGGTTTGTACAACCACTGTCTATAAGCTAACCTGTGGATTTGTTGATTGTAGAGCATGTTGATGCAAGGAGAAGTACCTCTTCTACCATATCCTCTATAACTTGAACGACTTCCTCTAGTTGTGATTTGCATATCTTTTCTATATATCCCAATTGACCACATTTTCGACATTTCACATCAGGCCTCCATCAACACTTGTTAGGTGTGTGATTATTTTTCTTGCAATAAGGACAAACACAAAATACTTGTGATTTTGTACCTCTGTTGTTCTTGGCTTGGACAGAACCTCCACCATGATATAGTAAAGAACATTCACCAGCAACATGATCTCTTCTCATCAATCTCCGTTGCTCTTGCGCTTGTAAAGCATGTAGCACTTCTATCAAAGTAATATTAGACAAATCTTTTTGTGTTTTCCAATGATGTAATAGATGTTTCATATCTCTCTGGCACAATTACCAAAATTTTCTCAACTATTCTGGAATCAGAAAATTTCTTGCCTAACAATTTTATTTTGTTAGCAATACCCAACAATTTGTTTGAGTATTCATTAATTGTCTCAGACTCTTGCATCTTTTGTATTTCAATTTTCCTTATCAAGTTTAGAACTTTCATACCTCAAATTTTCCCATCCCCTTCATATTGATCTTTCAAATAATCCCAAATTTCTTTGGGTGACTTTAGTGTCATGATTCTAGTGAGGATCATTTGTGAAACACCAGCAAACAAACATCATTTAGCTTTTGTCTTTCTCGTTTTTCTTTCTTTGTGAAATTTCATTTCAGTTATGGTGGGATTTTCAGGTAGTTG